GCCAATCTCCAGGTGAGGGCTACAGATCACTCACAATTACAACTGCTCTTCAGGTAGCAGAGATCAGTTCCTCTGGAGAAAACAGTGGACTCTATCATTATACCCTGCTGAGGTCACCACAGCAAATTGACACTGTTTGCCCAAAGCCAGAGCACTCCCCCAGAGCCTCTTTCTAGATCTCGTTGTATTGCTTTCACAACGGGCTTTACTGCTAGTCTATTATATATGTGCCCTTTAAAAACACACAAAGACCCATAAAGAATCAGGTTCATCCTTAAGTTGAATATAGTGCTCCACAAGTGGAGCTTCAAGGTTATGGTTGTTGTTCAGTCGCACAGTCGAGTCCGACTCTTTGCGACCCCATGGACCAGATCACGCCAGGCCTTCCTGTCTTCCGCCGTCCTCTGAAGTTGGCTCAATTTCATGTACGTTGCATCTGTCTAACCATCTCATCCTTTGCCGTCCCCGTCTTCTTTGACCTTCAATCTTTCCCAGCATCAGGGTCTTCTCCAGTGAGTGCTCCCTTCTCATTTGGTGGCCAAAGTATTTGAGCTTCATTTTCATTATCTGGCCTTCCAGGGAACAGTCAGGGTTGATTTCTTTTAGGATTGACTGATTTGATCTTCTTGCAGTCCAAGGGACTCTCAAGAGTCTTCTCCAGCACCATAGTTCAAAAGAATCTATTCTTCGGCGCTCGGCCTTCCTTATAGTCCAACTCTCGCAGCCATACATGACTACTGAAAGACTATTGAAAGAGGTAGTCAATCTTTAAAGGTACAATTGTGGTCTTAGGGTACTGTCTCAGTGATGATCTGGTTCTTATAGATCCACATGGGTCAATGCAGGGGTAATTCATGAGGACAACCAGATGGATTTCACCTTCTGGGATCCCAGGAACGTGACGTCTGTCTGTTGTATGTTAATCTGACAGCAGGAAGATCACTATGATCTAGCTGACAGTTCAGTGAAAGCTACCTGTAAGCAGGTGGACAGATAAGCTAGTTCTGACCGGTTATGGCTGGCACTGGACAGTGTGGAGTCACCATGACTCAGCTTGTTGCTGATTGGTGCTGCTATGTATATATGTCTGTACAGAAGCCATGTACGTTCTCTTCGGAGGAAGCAAGTGTCTGGCGAAGCACTTTGACTGTAAATTCTGTGAATAAACCCTTGTATATAGTGTACCACTGGACTGTGCAGTGTGGTTAGTATAGAGGGGCAGAACAGCAAAGAACTGGTAAGAGCTGGGAGGCTGGAAAGTCTGCTAAGGTGTTGCCTTGGCTTAGACTGGGTGTGGACCGCTATTCACCCTCTGCGCAACAGGGTTATGGGCCCAGCCTTGCGGGTTCCTTGCCCAGTCTAGCAAGGTGCCCATTGGATGCCTGAGAGTCAGCCCTGGTGAGGACTCAGCTCAGCCTGGGAGAGACCAGCTTGGAAAAGTACCAGAGCTTCGGTGAGCCGTGCTGAACGACGGTGTGTGCAGCTGCGAGACCAGGTCTGTGGGCGGAAGGTTATCGCATTCTCCAGGAGTGGGGGAGTAGCCGGCCTGAACTAGCCTGTGTGCAGCAAGAGCCACGCCGGGAGCGCGGACAACTTTTTTCCTGCTTGTGAGCGTCGCTGAGCCGGGAGTGAATTATGGCTCTACAACAGTCTCTACAAGTCGTGGATAAATTAACTTCGTCCAACTACGATGTTTGGGCTTTCAAAATGAAACATTACCTCATCAGTGAAGGGATCTGGCTTTATGTAAATGATCCCCCTGACCCTATTCCAGCAGGGGACCAGCCGAAAGCAGACCGTGCCTTGGCTTGCATCGTCCTGTCGGTGGCAGATGACCAGCTTCTGCACATAACGTCAGCTTTGACGGCACAGGAGGCTTGGCAGGCACTGTGAACAGTTTATGTCCAAACTTCAGCCGGGACTATAATGACTTTGATGCGTCGTCTTTACCGGAAGGTTCAAGCACCAAATGAATCGGTAAGAGACCATGTAAATAAACTAACAGAACTTTTTCAAATGCTCGAAGGGAGGGGGAAAACTATAAATCAGGAAGATAAATGTTATCTGTTAATCAGTTCCCTGCTACCATCCTTTGACACCTTAATTGCCTCCCTCGAAGGAATGGATCCTAATCAACTTTCTTTCAACCACATTCTTGGGCGAGCGATAGAGTGGGAGGAACGCCATAAACCGACCTTGGTTGCTAAGCAACGGCCTGTGGAATGTACAAGTGCCGGGGAAGCTAGCCGAGAGAGCAGAGCCATAAAACCTGAGCCGGGATTACCAGCCACGGCTCTGCGCGTAAAGAAATGGATCAAAAATTCATCTAAAAAAGAATTGCCCGTCTATTAAAAGGAATAAGGCTGGCAGCCATTGTGATTTCCAGACCGGCCACCCAGCCGCATCTCTAGTTACGACAAACACAGTGGTTCAGTATGCTTTCGTCCTTGACAGCGGTGCCAGTGTGAATCTGGTGAAGAGTCCTGATTTACTGTGCAATGTGCAGGATACTCCACTAAATCATGTCAGCCTGGCTGATGGCCATGCTGTTGATGTAAATCTCTTAAGCGTGCGTGAGATGACCAAAGCTAACTTTGATGTTGTTTTCAGTAAAGACTGCTGTGTTATAAAGAAAGGGGGGAGGGAAATTGCAAAAGCAAACCTGGTGAATGGAGTGTATTTGCTTGAATGTTCTCAGGTTACAGCTTCGGCTGTTGTGACAGGGAATGTTAACCCCCATAATGAATGCATCCATTTAATGCATCGCAGATTAGGCCATGCATCATTTGGTGTTATCAGTAAAACACTTGCCTTGACAGGGAATGAGGGTGTAAAACCTTGTAAAAAGTTCCTGGACTGTGGGATTTGTAAACAAGTAAAAAGCCATGCTTTTCCTGTTGTTCGGAGGAGTGAGAGAGAATCCACTCACCCACTCCAATTAATACATGCTGATATTCTAGGGCCTTTCCAGCCATGTTTATCACATAACAGATTTGCATTAGCTCTGGAAGATGATTATTCAAAATTTGTTTGGATTTACATACTTAAACACAAATCTGATGCTTTTGAGACACTAAGGTACTGGTACAAACGAGTGAAAAACCAGTTAGGTGACCTTAAGGCTTTGCAAACAGACATGGGGTCTGAGTTCATGTCCAACAAAATGCAACAATGGTTAAAAGGTTTGGGTGTAAAGCACCGTGTAGCGAATATTTGTACTCCTTCTGAAAATGGTGTTATAGAATGCAGAATTTCCACTTTGCAGACAATAATGTATGCCATGCTTGCTGATGCAAACCTGCCAAAAACCTATTGGGCTGAAGCATTGAAGTATGCTGCCTATGTATCAAATAGAGTGTGGACTAGGGTAACTGACAATATTCCTTATGCCATGCTGTATGGAAAAATGCCTAAACTAGATTTTCTGCGTGTATTTGGTTCTCAAGCGTGGGTGAACATACCACTGACTCAGCGCAGAAAAGGTGGTCATAGGTCAAAACTGTTAACCTTCTTAGGATGTCAGTCTGGTATGAAGGCTTACAGATTTGTTAACAACCTGCAATGGTTTGAAAGCACAACAAACAACATTTTAAGATGAAGAATCTTGGTCAAATCAGTCATTATCTAGGAATGGACATCACTAGAAATGCTGATGGTTATTTTGAAATCTGTCAACAAAACAAAATTGTAAAATTGTTGGAACAATACAATATGTTGGATGCTAAACCAGTGTCTACCCCAATTTCAACAGGGTATGTAAGAGAACCAGAGGATGAAAGTTTTCCTGATCAGCAAATGTATCAATCTTTGATGGGCTCTCTTAATTATCTAGCTACTTGGTCTAGACCAGACATTAGCTATGCAGTGCATGTTCTGTGCCAGAAAACAGCTAAACCATGCAACAAGGATTGGAATGCTGCAAAACGGTTGCTAAGATATTTAAAGGGTACTATGTCTTGTAAACTTGTTTTGGGTGCCAACAATATGCAAGGAGTCCTAGCTTATAGTGACTCAAACTGGGGCACAAGTTCTGATGCCAAGTCGACCACTGGCTATGTGATTTTTGTGCACGGGTCTTTAGTCATTTGGAAGGCTGTTAAACAGGGTTATGTTTCGACCAGCACCTGTGAAAGCGAATACGCGGCCTTGAATGACTGTGCCATACAATTAGAATGGCTAAA